GTATCAACCATCGCAAAAGCCAATCGATGACAGATGCAATGGAATGTGAGAATGGTGGGAAAATCTCTGCAAAGGAGTCCAGCTAGTCCATTCTGTTCACCTGTCATGACTGAGGCTCCATCTGTAAAGATGGAGGCAAGCTTGCTGGTATCCAGGTTTTTACCTTCCAGCCCTTGAAGTAAATTGGCTTTTATGGTTGGAGCATTTGCACTGCTTCTATTGCCACTTAACAAGTTGGTTGTGAACGAGAATTTGGTGTGTTTTGTAGCTTTTTGATCGAGATACTGGATGAAACATATCATCTGCTCTTGTACAGATATGTCTGTAAGATCATCCACTAATGCGCCAAAACATCTGGCTGCCTGAACTTCTTGCATACAGCATCTCCTAATGCTAACATCATTTCTTTCTGTACTCTCTTACTCATGCTGAAAGTACTTCATCTCGTCACATCCTTGCAATGCCACAAGCTGATTCAGTTGAGCCGCCTTCCTATTGAAAATCTCCTCTTTCATTAGAAAATAGAGATTGCACATGACGCATTCAATAGTTTTAGCTTCAGCAGCTTTACTATTTGTGATCTCTATTTGAAAAATGCTTCCCCTCCGTGTCTGTTCCAGTTCTACAACCTTGCTGTGTGTTTTACTCTTGAGGTGTCCTGACGTTGCTGATGTCTTGAATCTTACAGAGGACTTTGAAGCGAACTTCCCTTGTTTATTCTGCATTGATTGAGCCTTGTGCTTCCTGCACAGGATGCAATAGACTCCTTTCCCTTCAACAAACACAGGCCACCCATATCCACTTGGTGCACAGTAAGTTATGTCACTCTTGCAAAGCCACGAATGGTTGAAGACTTTTTCCTTCTTTTCGTTAATCACCTCATTTTGTTGGGAAATTTCCTCTCTGCTGAAAGTACAGCCAGCATCACAGACATCTTGGTGATGACTTCTTGATTTCTCCCCTGGAAAAAGGTCTTCGTGCATTCTTGCACTTGACGCTGATTACACGCATGAGACCGCGTTTTATGTGCAACTGCGCCAGGAATACCTTCCATTTCGCACTCTAAAGCCGAGGGAATGCTTTCCGCAGATATGTTTTGCACCTTTTCAGCTGCCGATGTTGAGGGAAACAAAGAGCAGTCAGGAGCCAAATCTTGAGAGTTGTCAGACTGATCAGGAGTTGTGCCAGTTGCACAAGACCTAGCATCTAATAAAATAATTCTCTTTGTTAGGTTTTAATCATGTGTGATTGAAATACCTGTATTCATTTTTCAATTAATTTTCAAGCAAACCATATCCTTGCCTGTGACTCATTTTTTGCCGAAAAAGGATTGAATGGAAGACTCTCTTTTGGCTCATATTCAGAGTCTATGTTGATATTTCAATCTTCCCCGTTCACTGCAAAAACAAAAAGTAAAAAGAGACGTTGAGGTGAAAGACAACTTTTTTTTTAAAAAAAATTTCGTTTTCTTGTTTCTCAGTCATATAAAGAGATTGGGCTTGAGTTTTTCCAGATCTGGCACATTTGTCTGATGCAATCTGCAACCAAGCACATGGCAAAGAAAATGGCCATGCGTATCGGTTGCGTAGCATTTGTTCTTTTAAATTTGAGAATGATATCAATGCTCCCATCGGAAGGAAAGATGTCACCAAAATATTGGCTGAAAATGGTAAGGTAAACAAAACTGTGACCTTCGTGATAGAAAATGTAGGGAATTGTTTTACAAAATTGAAAGTACAAATTAAAGGTAAGCAGTGCTGTCAAGGTGTTGTTTATTATTCACAATAGTTTAGTCATAATTGAAGAGCTTTACAAGGAAGCGGCTTATCAAAGGGCGTGAGGTTATGTTATTGGACAAATTGCATTATTTTGACAAGGTCACAAGAGTGGAAAACTGTCTCTGAAATTAAGAATGGGTCTAGGGGAACACCAGGCAGCTGTGCAACATGCCATGTCGCCAATTTCAATGAAACTTTAATTTTCCAGGTCAAAGGGTCTACCCCTTGGAAGTATTTTTAGTAGCCTAGTGGTTGCTGTGCCTGCCCCTGTGGTCTTCATTTAAATTTTGTGACCTCAGAGATGGTAAAAGTTGGAAAAAATGAATTAGATGGGAACATGTGGAGAGTCTAAATGGGGGTAACTCTAAACTAGAAAATATTTCGCTTTCTTCTTCTGTCTGTGACAGATTGGGTAGTTTTCTGATGGCCCAGTTTCAGACATCTGCACATGTTTTATGTTTAGGTTGCTGAAGGTTTCCATTGTGATGATCCAAATGGGGCCATGGAGTGTTCCAAACTGTGTCAGCTGGTCTGTACTATAAAGAGAAGTTATTCAATACCTGTGCCTCGGTCATGGTGTGTTTGGTCATTGTTTGCGTGGATGGCGGAGCACATAAGGCTACACAGCAGCCCTTGACTCCACTGTTTGACTCGATGGCAGTGTTCATGTCGCTGGCTGTCTTGATATCATTACCTTCACTTAGGAAGCAGTGCATGTGACTTTTGAGGACAGCCATCCAACGGCTGCAGATAGGTGTCTTTGCCTCCTTGTGGTTTGCTAAAGTAATAGTGCATGATCTTGATGCCAATTCCATCACTGATGCTGGAGAGGAGAAGGAAACTGTGGTGGTGACAACTGGCTTTCTCTGATGGCAAGTAAATTTGGTTGAGATTTGACTTCAAAGTCCTCAGTGTTGTCAAGGTTTGTTCAATTATGGATGCCACCATAAACTAGTTCTGAGTTCACTAATCTAGTGTATGGATGTAGGTTTGTCTGAGGAGAAAATGAGAGTGGTTGATTTAAAAAAGAAATGAACAATTTGTTACACAATCTCTGATATACTTTTTGGGACAGTAAGTTGTCAAATTGTCAGGACAGAAACGTCCTTTGGATTATTTGGAGCTTATTGTCAAAAAATTCAAGGCCCAATCCATGGTTAGAAACACATTTTGTACCAAATGCCATGTCTTGTGGATATGATGGACTGGATATGAAGTCCAGGAAACGGTCAACCTTAGCAGGCTCTAGGTCTGTTGATGGTTTGTGTGTCTATTAATTGTCCAGGTTTAGTCTTGTATGTTTGTTTTCTCACTCAATAATCTTGAACTTGGTCAATCCCTTAACCAGCTGTAGTTATAATAATTGTGGACATAGAGGGAGAGAAGTTGTTGCAGGGTGTATCAAGAGCTTGTCTAATTGTAGAAGCCATCTGTCTGTTCACTAAGCTGTCGTTAGAAGCAACAGAGACAGCTCATCCCCTATGGTACTTCTTGAAAGTTAAGCGAAGCAGCCATGATGAATTCCCTGGGCCAATAGCATTCACCATGCTATCAACTGCTTGCTTGGCTTTTTTGTGGTTATTACCATTGCAATGACAATGAAACAGTCGTAACATCAGACTTGCATTGAGACTTGAGTGGCAGTTGATTTTAGTAGATGTCTGTGAAGGAACTGCAGCTGATGCTCAACCTGCTTGGTAGGCTGCTACTTGGAAGACGTCTCTACCTCCACTGAAGAACCCTATAACCATGAGGGGAGAATGTCTGAATTTGGTTCACCTTGCTGTAACCCTAACAAACTTTCAAAAAAACTTGTGTAAATTAAAAACCTATTTGTAAATTAAAAACCTATTTGCAGACTTATTTATAAAAATATCACCGTAAATCGTATTCCAAATTATCAAAAAGTTAAACATTATGCTTTTTTAAAAAGATTGGTCTTTAAGTGTTTCTTGAATAAATTAATTGTATCTAAACTTCTAAGATCTAATAGCAGCTCATTCCAGAGGTTAGGTGCAGCAACAGAAAAGGCCCTGTCTCCGTATGTTTTAAGTCTTGACTTCAGAACAGCCAGAAATTTTTGATCAGTAGAGCATAGCGTACGTGAACATGTACGATAACTAAGTAATTCCGTGATATTTAATGATGCCATACCATTTAGGGCCTTATAAACTAACAATAAAACTTTAAAAAGAATCTGAAAGTGAATTGGTAACCAATGCAGTTGAAGTTATACAGGGGTGATATTATCAAATTTCTTGGTTAAAGTGACGATCAGAGCAGCCATGTTTTGCACAGACTGCTAACTACTTATATGCTTAGGGAGGCCATACAATAAAGAGTTGCAATAGTCTAGTTTTGAAATAACAAATGCATGAACAAGAATTTCTGTAGTTTCCTCAGTGAGGTACTTCCTAATTTTAGAAATGTTCCTTAACCCTTTTCCTCCCATGGGTATGGTAATTAATTTTCGCAAAAAAGACAACACCGTGAATAAATGGTTGTAAGTTGAGCTACATTTAGTCAATTTTCATATATCATAGCTCATTTTGAAGTTTAGAGAATTTTCTACACAGTGAACCAACAAAATTTGCCTGTCCCTTGTTATGTAAGTTTCTCACTTTATCCTCAAAGTTGACATATGACAGTAAAAATACACTAAAAAAATCCTTCGTTCACAAGAATTCAGCTCTGAAACCAAAAAGAACTGTCAAATAATAACAATAGTCATTTTTGTTAAGCTAAAGAAATGACCTTTAAGATAAATCACAAATATTTGTTATATTGATCTAAAAAAAGCTTCTTACGGCCCTCAAACAGTAAGGCAATTTTCATCGTAAATTTTAATTCTATAAATCATTTAAAAAATTAATCAACTGAGGATTTAACAGCAACTTAAATCTCATAAGGTATTATTTTTTACCAGACTGATCCAAACAACCTTTCTGAGCATAACTGCCTTCCCCAAGTTTTTCAAATATCTGCAGGTTAATGATTAACCAATCAAAAGAAACAGTCAAGTCCATAATCCCATGAATTATGGGTACATACATTTGTAGAATAAACAATCAGAAAACATAATTTTTTGAACAAGGAAACACCACATAATATCTCTTATAAGCATGGAGTTGGACATACCAGTGCTACAATGTCAGTATGCTGTTGGCAAAGTGAACAGTTTTTGACAACCAACGGTCAATGTTCCGCTACTTATAGGAGAGTTCACTGCCTCTTCTGCCTAGGTCTTCCTCTAGCAAAAGGCCTGCCAGGATTCTGAGGTTTCAGACGTGGGGTTGCAGCTCCATATTCAGGGTCATCATACAAATAGTCTTGGAGGGTGTGGTACTTCTCAAAACAAGGGCTGGGGCACATGTGGACTCCACACAGTCCACACTTGTATGAAGTCAACACTCGCTGCAGGTGAACTTTACAAGCACACCGTTTGTCAACTTTGACTGGGAAGTGTCCCAAAGACAGATTCAATCTTGATATTTGAGGTGCAGCAGCTGTGGGGGTAATCTTGTAGCTCCTTCCACCATGTAAACCTCTGATTACCAGAATCCGGAAATCCATCATGCTCAGATCTGGTTGATCATCATCTTTTCCCTTGCAGTAAACAAGATATGCATTCAAAACTGACACCTCCAAGAAATGATAGAAGAGTTTTAGATACCATGTCCAGCCTTTCATGAGCCTTGCATAGGCAGTTGTCCTCTGGTCTGCAACATCAACACCACCCATGTGTAAATTGTATTGTTGCACTGGTATGGGACAGGCAAAGTCTCTCCTATGCCAGACGTTTGCTTCTCGCACTGACCTTTCAGCAACTCCCATTTCTTCATTAGCTGGTAAAGTTGTCAGAATAGTCACAGGTTTTCTGTCTTTCCATGTCACACAAGTGAGGTGATGTTTTTGCCGAAAAATTGCTTCACCACGTTTCATCCTCTTTACAGTAGCAGAGGTCGATGTTGTTACATCTCGAGGAAGACCGATCCGATCCCCCCGACATGTTCCACAGGCTTGAAGACCCTGATCATAAAGATTCTCAAAAAGTTGAACTGAGGTGTAGTAATTATCCATAAATATATTGTATCCTAGTCCATAAAATGGTTCCACAAGTTTCAAAACAACTCTTTGAGCTAAACCTTTAGACTGTTGTCCACATTCCTTGCCTGTATAAACAATTATGTCTAACACATAGCCATTTTCAGAGTCAGCCAAAGTAAATTCCTTGAGGCCAAATCTTGCTGGTTTGTCCCTCATATACTGCCTCCATGAAAGGCGTCCTTTAAACTTCACAAGGGTTTCATCCACTGACAGGTTCCTGCTTGGGGCATAAACTCTTTGGTACCGGTTTTTAATTAGTTCTATGAAGGGCCTAATTTTCCCCAGTTTGTCATATCCATCTTGACCTCTAGGAATTAATTGTGTATTGTTCACAAAATGTATATACCTCAAAATTTGTGTAAACCGATTCCTTGACATGCAATTTGTGAAGAATGGTGTTTGAAGTATCTCATCAGTGGACCAGTAACTATGTATGGTAGGTTTGTTTACCAGCCCCATTGCTAAAATCAAGGCAATAAATGTTCTTATTTCATCTTTGTCCACTGCGTGCCAAGGCATACGGTGTTTATCCGGGGTTTTGGCTCTCTCTTGGGCAGCATACAAATTTGTTTGTGTCACAACTAGATCAAGCAAGGCATCAATAAAAAACAGACAAAAATAACTCACTGGGTCTTTTTGATCCGCTCCCATTCGAACTTTAGGCCCCGTGGGTTGGGTGAAAGGCAGGTCTGAATGCGTCCTGATGTCTTCTACCCAAACAGGATCGCCCACAACATCGTTTTAGCCCTGTGCTGTACGTCTCCGCTTCCTGGGAGGCCCTGCTTGTTGTAATTCTTCATTTTCGTCACTTTCTTCAGCCTCAGAGTCAGTCTGATAAAAGTCTGAGTCAATTTCCTCGTCAGACTCTCGCTCTAAATATGCCGTGCCTATAGCTACAGAAGTCAATGGCATTTCATCTTCGTCTACGAACACTAAATCCACGTTTTGAGAAGTCTCTGCAGCCGAATTTACTACAAATTCACTTCCAAGTTGAAGCCATTACTGATCAGCTGTTCCTGAACTTCGCGCGAAAACTCGAACAGAAAAGAATCGCAATTTTTTCGGTCAAAAGCAGGCAAATTCACATGAAAAACACCGAAGAAACCGACAAAAATCGCCAGGCTTCAAATGAGGCAGAGGGGGGCTATTGCAATCAAGTATTTCACCCCTAGCGGGCTCAGCATCGGTCAGCCGCATTTATCGTCACACATATGTGACGTTGGGACGAAAAGGGTTAAGTGGAAGTATGACGTTTTGCATATCTTATTTACATGTTCCACCATATTACAGCATTCATCAAATACGACACCGAGATTCCTAGCTGAAGATTTGGGGAGTATTTGTTCGACACCAACTGACACATAAAATGGCAGGCTTTGGGCGGAATTTTGAACTAATTACAATCAGTTCAGTTTTCTCCTGATTGAGCTTTAGCATGTTGTTTGTCATCCACCAGTCAATATTTTTGACACATAGCTCAACAGATGACTTAGCTTGAGCGAGGTCAGCAAAGCAGTCAGTTTTAAAAGAAATGTAAAGTTGAGAATCATCAGCATACAAATGGTACTGTAGACTATGAAAATTGATAATATCAGCAATCGGAGATGTATATAATAAATACAGCAAGGGACCTAACACAGATCCTTGAGGCACCCCATGTGCTAAACAGTGTTGTGATGACTGACAATCTTCAATTTGCACGAACTGTTTACGAGATTTAAGATACGAATCAAACCAAGCAAGGGCATTACCTTTTATACCAAAACGAACGCTTAAGGTTCTGACTCGCACCACATGAACTATTAATAGTAAAGCATTTCTTCCTAATAATGATAACGACAATAATGATAATAATATCTTATTCATGGGAATAATAATGGCAATTACAATGATATTTTTGATAATGTGGCAACGGTGACATGCGCAGGTCAAAGGACTGTAAATCACTTAAGTCGAAAACATCAGAATATTATGATTCAGAGCATTTGGGCTCAGCAAGGAATAATTCTGGCATGATGAAATGATTTAGTTACCATGAACAAATTTTGCAATAATTTCCTTAGGCCTCTTTATTTACATTGGGAAAACACTGTGGAATGACATGTTGCCTTACCTTCCTGCAAATTTCATCTTGCAATAGCATGTGCAAACATGGAAACACTACTTCTTCAGTTGTCTCAGACAGCCTACTCCTGAAATGGTCCTGAAATGGTCCTGCAGTCTGGTCCATGGACTCCACCTCTCTCACAACTTTGATTTCACTAGTTGCAGTCCCAATGTAAGGAAGGTTCACCTGCTTCCAAACTGTTTGTGTGAGTGCTTGTGAAGTATCTGCATACACCAAGCAATCATATAAACTTCTTATCGGTCACAAGTCAGAAAAATAGTTCAGATTAAGTTCTTTCTTCCCTTGTCATTGATTGTAAGATACCAGTTATGCATTCTATAACAATTCAACTTATAATCAGTCTGCATTAAAACACGAAATCCTGCATACCAAACCATTTTACCACACTGCTGAAATATAAATCAATTGAAATAATTAATAAACATCATCCTTTAATGCCCCCCCCCCCTTGGGTCATATGCTCAGACACAATATCCTTCAAACATTCCTTTATCATGAGTTTGTTCTGAAATAAAATGAGCAGCCAATCATAGTGCAACTGAGAAAACCATGAACCATGAAATAACTTGAGAAATGTTTTTGTGTTTAAAAGAGAGTGAGAAGAAAGAACCCATATCCTCAGGTGGTTACGCCCATGGATCACATCTGAATCAATGTGTGAGATATGTAATATCCCTGTTTGAGTTACGATTCCAACAAAATCCTTCTATACATCGGCATTTTTGCAGGATGTGTTACTCACAACAATGGAAACGTGGTCTCTGGCTTTATCGCTTTTGGTGGATGTGATGCCACTATCTGCAGGTGAAGTTTTGAAGTTGTTGGCTTGCTTATCAGCACTTTATCACTGCTGTCTTCTGTGTGAGACTTTCCTCAGCTAAGAGTCTTCTGAATTTGTCTGCTTCTCAGACTACAGGTGAATGGGTTTCTAAGGGCTTCCTCTAGAAATGTGTGAAGAGAGATAGATAAAATAGTTTATTTATCCATAGCGCCTAAGAGCATTTAGCATACTTTTTTACAATGCGCTTATGCTATTACAAAATACTGAAAATAATGAAAATTACATAAGTATAAAAGACCATAGACAATCATGTGCAGGGCACAAGAACAAATTCTTAGTATGGTACTTAGCAATAAAAAAATGGTATAAGGCTTATTTGTTTCTAACACTTCTAAAAAGAATTCACACTACCAGTGATTCTAGCATTGCATGGTAGAGTATTCCAAAGGTGGCAGGTTACATATGCAAAGGAATTAAGACACGCCACTTGCCATTAAAAGGATTTTGCTCAAGCTTAGTGCCTGAGCCTCAAAGACAATAATTGATTGTATGAAGTTTAAAGAAGTCTTTAATGTAACTAGGACCATTCCCATTGAAACTTCTTAAAAGGTAGTATCAGAACATAAGAAAACCTCCTTTATTCTAGTGTACATGTGTTAAGTGACCTAACAATACTATCATACAAAGTGGTCTTAGGTAAACCTAATACCGTTTTTGGAATACAGTAATTTGCATCTTCTAATTTATGAGATAAAGATCTAGTTATTCCTTTAAGTATTGGGCCACAACACTCAAGATGCATTGGAATAAAATGTCTAATTCCCAGCACAGAAAAGAGCAGGGTACTAGGTACTAGTTGGAAGAGCAGGACCTGGGCAAACTGCTTGGTTGGACAAGAAAACAAAGATGGCAGATGAGTGAGCACTATTATCATCACATAACCGTATTTTTCCTTCAAAAACATGCCTAAAAGAGTTAATTGCTGTGTTCCAAATTGCTGGAACAACTTCAGAAATAACCAGAGATTACAATATTACAGAATACTGAAAGATCCAACCATTTGCCAGGAGTATGTGAGACTATTATAAAATGGTAGCTTAAAGTTAGAGAGTGATAACACTCCAATATGTTCTCAACACTTTGAAGGAGGAAAGAAACGTGATTGTGAACATCTACCTTCTTTATTTCCCTGAACAACTGAAAAGCCAAAACGAAGAGAACTCGAGAGAATAAGCTTTGAACAAGAAGAATAGCTAAGTCGAACATTTGAGTGTCAGTGACACTGATTGTGACAAGCTGATAATGGACGAGCAAATCCCACGCAGCAAGGAACAATTTAAGGAAAAACTCCAGGACATTGCCTTTTTGTACTGGGTTTTCAGATTATGAAACTCTTCTGCTATTGACCACTTTCATAAATGGCTGCTGGATTAATATTCTTTTGTTTGAATTTAAATTAGCCTTTCTGGCCTCACTTGAGATAATGTATTCTTTTGAATTTTGTACTGGAGAACGAGGCCAGAAAGGCTAATTTAAATTTAAACAAAAGAATATTAATCCGGCAGCCATTTATGAAAGTGGTCTATGCTTTGATATCGTAAAGGAACCTGCGAAGAACTTAAGCTATGGATCTCTTCAAAGAAAGGTTGTTGATTCAACTGCACCCAATAAGCATGGAAGGCCTAGGAAGTTATCTGTATTCCAAGAATTCGTATTGGTCATCATGAAACTGAGGCTTGGACTTTTTAACAGAGACTTAGCTTATCGCTTTAATATTTTTTCTGTTGTTTCCGAGATTGTCAGGACATGGATCAGGTTTTTGAGGAGTGAACTGTAAGTATGGATTCAAGTGCCTCCTAGAGATGTTATACAGTTTCACATGCCCTCCTTGTTTAAAGAATTTTACCCAAAAAGTGCAATAATAATTGATTGCACTAAAATTGAGATGGAAAGACCCTCTGCCTTAAATAATCAGTCAGCTTGTTATTCGTCCTACAAATCAAGGACAGCAATGAAGGCTTTGGTTTCAATAACCCCATCTGGTACAACAGCATTTGTCAGCGAACTATACCCGGGAAGTATTTCTGAGAAGGAAGTAACCCTAAGGAGTGGACTTCTCAACCATCTGCAGCAAGTGATGAAGTCATGGCTGACAAGGGGTTTTTGATCCAAGATGAACTGGCTTCTGTGGGGGCAGTTTTCACAATGCCAGCATTTTTAGGTGGATGAAAACAAGGAAGACACTGCAAAGAACAAGAAGGTTGCCTGCCTCAGAGTTCATGTAGAGAGATGCATGGAAAGAATTAAAATTGGCATATCTTGTATTCAAAGATTCCAGTCTCACTAGCACCATTTGCATCAGATATAGTTATTGTAATCTCAGCCTTAACAAACGTTCAACCACCATTGATATCATAAAGGTAATCATGTCATTATATTTTCTACAAGTACTGGTAGTATCATAATTTACATGCGGCATGCCTGGAAGGTCACGCTTTTACTTTCTCAGAGAAAATATCTTCAAATAATCTTAAATTACTTTCTTGCTAGCTTAGTTAGCTGGGTATGAGCTTCAAATTAATTGATTTTGGAAAATTGTGGAAAGAAGAACTACTTGAGGATGTGAGGAGAGAAATAGGAGTGATTCAACCATTGAACCTGGCGGCCATGAACAAAAAGATGAATGACCTTGAAACCTCTCAAAAGTTCCTTGCTGAGAAGTATGACACTCTTAGATGGTTTTCAGGAGCAAAAGAAACATAACAAGGACTTAAATGATTGGATAGATGGCATAGACACAGAAATTGGATATGCAAGAAATTACATCTACAACATTCAGCTCCACCTTGATGCGAACCAGCAATATGGCCAACGTGAAACGTTGGAAATACAAGGGATTCCTGATATCGCTGATGATAATCCCACTCAGCTAGTAATCGAGACAGTGAGGTTAATTGATGTTGAACTAGAGGCGAATGACATTTCTATTGCTCATCGCCTACCGTTAAAGGAGGGATAAAGTCAACGCAAGATTATTTTTAAATTTACACGACGAACGAAGAGGGATGAAGTCTTCATTGCCTGTAAGAAGCTGAAGTCTAAACGAACTAAAGATTTACCTTCAGTCCAATCACAATCAGAGTCTTCTTCTAGTCATAATGCTGCAATAGGGTCCTTTCGATATAGTTGGACGTGCGCTCCTGAGACCTAGAAACGAACATGTAAATGAGGCTTAGAGGACAGCATGCAGGAAAAATTAAAAACAGAGACCGGTGTACTGCCTGTAATGTTAAAGTTACAATTATTTTCCGAAGTTATGGTGAACTTTTGTTCTGTGGTGAACTGCTTGAACAGTTCCAGGAATCGTCTGGATCTTTGGTTTTTCTGTTTCCCTTCAGAACAGAGTTCTAGAAGGGTTTGGAAGAACTTCTGTCGACAAAGTGATTCCGAGGTAAAAAAAAAACCCCGGATTTGCGGTGCACATTTCAAAGCTTCCTCTATCAAAAAGTCACTTGGTGGGAGAAGAGAGACTATTCCAAGTGAATTACTGAAGTATTTTAATCCCTCGGCAAAGGAAGGACCTGTTTCTTCCCGTGAAAAGAGATTAGATGTTAGGAAGAAATGAACATTTCATGAATATCCTAAACCTAAAAGAGTAAAAGGGTTACCCAGGAAGGCAAAGATACCAGTGAACGGTGGTCCTTGCTTCCAGCGCTCATTTATAAGCAACTCATCTACTGTCATTCCTCTGGATGCTTCGTCAGCTGGATTAAGTGTGCCTTCAACGTACCTCCATTGCTCAGCCGTAGACTGATCTAAAATGGCTGACACGCGGTTGGCAACAAAGATCTGGAATCTCTTATCCTTATTCTCTATATAGCGAAGAACGCAAGTGCTGTCAGTCCAAAAGGTAGAGCTGTGTATGACTATGCCAACTTCTTGTCTGATCATGCGATCCAACCTCGTTGCTAAGACTGCCGCTGACAGTTCCATCCGCGGAATCGTCATTGCCTTGAGAGGGGCTAGTCTGGACTTTGCCATAATAAGCGAACAGTGAACTTCACCATGCGCATCAATTTGACGAAGATACGAGACAGCTCCGTAGCCTTGGCTAGATGCGTCGGAGAAATGGTGGAGCTCGCGGCGTTGTATGTTGGAACAGTTTGGTGGTTTGAAGCATCGCGGTATCTCAAACCCTTCTAATTTGGGGAGTTCCTTCAGCCATGATTGCCATTTTTGCTTGCAGGGTTCGGGAATCTGATCGTCCCATCCAAGGCCCTTGAGACACAGGTCTTGCTGGATTGCTTTAGCGGGTAGTATGCACGGTGAAATAAAACCGAGTGGGTCGTATACCGAGCAAATAATAGACAAAATTCCTCTTCTTGTGATGGGCCGCTCCTTTTCAACGATTTTGTAGCCGAATGTGTCCTTCTGCACATTCCATTGGACACCCAGGGCTCTCTCTGTGAGTGTTAGATTCTTACTTAAGTCGAAATCTTTGACGGAAGGTGCTCTTTCGTTTTCAGGAATGCAGTTGATCACGTCTCTTGAATTCGATATCCATTTGGTAAGGTGAAATCCTCCTTTGGACAGCATTTCACGGAGTTCTCCTACTAGTCGAATGGCTTCAGGATTAGTGGCGACTGACTTTAGACAATCGTCAACGTAGAAATTTCGCTTGACGGTCTCCACTGTGGTTGCGTCAAAGGCTGTCTTATTATCTTCTGCGGTTTTCTTCAAGGCAAAATTTGCGCAGCTTGGGGATGAGGCACCCCCGAACAAATGGACTAGCATTTGATACTCTTCAGGGTCTTTGTTTAGATCGCCGTCTGGCCACCACAAGAATCGCAGATAGTCGCAGTCGCTTGGGGAAACTCGTACCTGGTAAAACATGGCCTCGATGTCTGACATGAAAGCGATTTGCTCTTGCCGGAATCGTGTTAATACGCCCACAAGCGTATTTGTCAAATCCGGCCCCTGTAGCAGCTGGTCATTTAAGGAGGTACCTTGGAATTTAGCTGAACAGTCGAATACGACGCGGACTTTGTCAGGTTTCTGGGGGTGAAACACGGCATGGTGCGGTAAGTACCATACGTTTGAGTTGCCCAGGTTTTCCCTGCTGACCTTTCTCGTATAGCCCTTGACAATCAGGTCATCCATGAAGTCTCTATACTTCTTGTGTAAAACTGGATCTCTATAAAGACGTTTCTTCAGCGGATGTAGTCGCTGTTGTACTTGCGATTTATTGTTCTTCAGAAGTGGTGGATCGTTCTTCCATGGTAAGGCAATTTCGTAGTGGCCGTCTGACAGTTTTGCTGACCCTTCCATGATGTGTAGCGCTTTTCGGTCGTTTTGCGACATGGAGGCTTGAGGCTCGTAGCTGGAGTCGTTAAATTCTAAAGTGCAGAAATCTTCAAATTGCTTGCTTAGCTTGGCGCTTGTGTCGATGAAGTTCGCAGTCGGAACCTTGCTTTCTTTTCTACCTAGGGGGCCATTTAATACCCAACCGAAAATTGTCCGTGTTGCGAAGGGACCACCATCTTCGCTTTCTCTAAACTCTTTTGGTTGGAGCGCTTGGGGAGCATCACTTCCGATGAGAAGACCAACTTCCGATTTTACGCTTTCCATTTTGATTCCTTTCAAGTGTGGCCAGCGATTCACATCTTCTTGTGTTCCGACAGTGTCACTTGAAACCGGTAGGCTGGGCGTAGAATATACCATTGGTAGCTCGACCAGGTTTTGCTCTCTCAGGTCGGACACTTCTAGATTTACCAGAGAACACTCGATCGACTGGTTAGACGTTTGCATGGTCGTTAGGGAGAGAGACGTTTTCTTTCCCTTGGTGCCGAGTTTTTTGAGGAGATCTTCTGTGCAGAACGACGTGTTTGAGCCTGAATCCAAAAAAGCGTGCGTTAGTACTTTCTTGTTGCTGCCTTTTACTTTAACTTTCACGGGGACTATTGACAGTCCTATCACAGGGCCACTGGTTCCTTGAGATGCGCCGACGGAGCTTAAGTAACTGTTACTCGCTTGAGCTGCACTTAGAGTTGCCGGTGGTTCGGTTTGACTTTCTTTCCCACTCTGACCTGGTGGCATTTCTTTTGCATGTAGATAAGTCGAATGCTTCTTTGTGCATCCTTGAACGCGGCAAAAGCTCCGCTTTGGGCAGTCTTGAACGAAATGGCCAGGAACTAAACAGTTGATGCATAGCTTATTTGCGCGAACGAACTGATAGCGGTTGCTTATGCTTAGCTTCTTGAACTCTTCACATTGTGATAGCCAGTGGTTTCTTTTACATGAAGGGCATTTTAATTCCTTTCTTTCTTCTTTAGTGTTCGCCCGCTGTGAGGGGGGTTGCTCTAGTCCTTGCGTGGAGAAGGTTTTACCGT